TGTGTACTTTTCTCACCTTCAAGCTATAACAAGGATCAATTGGTGTTAATGAGGGGTTCAAGCTCCAAAAAAAAGTTATATATGGACTTCTCAGCCCTCACCCAAGGTTAAGTGCATGAAGGAGCTCATATTTGAAGATGGTGTCAAGGGGTTTCCAAAAGTCAAGATTGAAGAAGGTAAAATTCATGATGTGTGTCAAGTTAGAAAGAAAAATTAGTTGTCATATAAGATGTCTCAACATCTTACTCGTGTCTCAAAATTACCGTTGTTGGGCTTTATGAGACTCATGCAAAGGGTTGTTATTGAAGGAAAGGCTGATGGTCAGGCCTGAGGTCCGCCCAACAATGAACAACCTATAGTGGTTCAGAAGAAGAATATAAAGAAGGTTAGTGATTATGGCATAATTCTTCCTATTGGGGTTCCTTATCATAGTTATGGAATTTTGATTATTCAAAAACATGATCATGTGTTTGGTGAAATGTCAGATAAGACATTGGAAAATTATGTTCAACAAATGCAGTATGAAATTGAGATGAGTATTGTAGGAAGTTTTACCTACTCTCTTGGTCTACAAGTTAAGCTACTAGGAGATGTTTTTTTTTTACCAAAGCTTTATATAATGCTCAGATTAAAAAGCTAATGGGTGCTCTTGGCATTTAGATGTGTGAAATATTATAGCAATTAATGCAAGGGAGGCTTACAAGAATAAATGTTTGTGGAAAGAGAATTCCTTTGAATGTTCCTGTTGCCCCCATGGATGATGTGACATTACGTTCTGAAACCAGTCTTCAGAATTAGAAGTATGCTTTCAAAAGAAGAATTGCTCGTGAAAGAGAGTTAATTAACGAAGCTTTTGATTGCAAAGATATCAGGGAATTGATAAAATTTGTTAGTATTTTTATGAAAAGTGGGTCAAGGAATTCATTATGAACATTATTGTTGAGTGTAATGTTGAAGGCTACAAGGAGTATAAAAAGTGTATGATAGAGGAAAGTGTGTGAAGTTTTCACCTTAAATTATTGATGATTATTTAGGAAGAAGAAATGTTACCTCTATTGACAAGATTATGACCAAGGAAGAAGAGGAAACTGCAAGTGAGGATGAAGAAGAACATTACATTGAAGTACTGAAGTATAAAGAAATTATGGAGCTTCATAGTGATGCTCGATTGTTGAAGACAATGTTGATTACTAGAGCATGTTATCCTAGGTCTATAAAGGAGATTGAGGTTAAGAATAAAGATATTCCTTATGGGTTGCTGAATTTTAGTTTCAAGCTGAATGTTGGGAAAGATGTCTTTGACATTGTGTCCAACATATGCGCACCTGTTGATGAAACTGATCTAGTTCTTACTGAAGAAATTTTGGAGCTTTTTTACCTCAACTGATTATTCCTGATAATGCTATTTTGGTTTTCCTTTAATGATTGTGGTCTTGTGTTCTTGTTCTATAGTACTTTTTCCCTTCTTGAGGTCTTTTGGCTAAAGATATGTGTTGGTCTAATTGGTTGTTGTTCTTGTCAAGCTTTTGTTATTGACCTTGAAGCCTGCTTTTTTTTTAATGTTCCTTCTATGCCCTTTGTCTCTTTTGAAGAAAATAGAGGGAGAAAAATAAAAGGGCACACTCCTCCGATAATGTTTATATCTTGAGCACTAGTTGTGGTGCAATCTTGAAGGAGTGGTTAAATCAGTGTTTTGCCTAAAAAATAGCCAAAGGGGGAGATTTTTGTTTCTTTGGTTGGCTTATTTTTATAGTAAAATTGGAAGGCAAGATGTCTAGAACATGTCGCGGGACATTTTGGCGTGCAAACTGCTAGTACTACATTTGGTTAGAAAATATGTCTTTTGGATGCAGTTTCTTAATCCAAATCAATTTGGAAAAAGATTTGGATTTAGAAGATTTGGAAGGTTATATATGCTTTGAATGAATACTTCTATGCTCTTAGCTGTTTGGTATTATTCCTTTGGTTTTCTCTCTTTTCATCCATTTCTCAAATTGTGGCAAAAGGGGGGGGGGGGGGGGGGGGGGAGAAATGGTGTTTGTAGTGGAATGGATAACTTGAATACTGACTTTGTGGTGTATGGAGTTCAACATACGCTACTGACTATGCTTTATACTATCTGGTACAAAGAGTTGTGATTGGGACTAACGGTTGATAACTGATTTAATCCTGATCTGACTGTATACTCACATGCTGGAGTATCGGGCTATACACCTAGCCCTTTTGGAGAGAGCTTTTGTGTTAGTATTATTTTGCTATCCTGATGTTAACTACTATCTGTTTGTGTTATGCACGACTAAGTATGTGATTAATTGCATGCTGATAATTGTTAGTTAGTAGGATTGTATGCTACTAACTATGATTTGACTGAGTGTCATGCATAACTAAGTTGGGAATGATTGCATGTCTGTCTGATTGGTTTTGGAGCAATGTTGTTATGTGGCATCTATGATGAATGCTACTGATTTTCCACCGTTGTGCTACAACTCTGATGAGTTCTAATGTTGATGAAATTGTATGCTCTGATAATCCTCAACTGTATGTCACTTGTTCTAATTGAATGAGTAATATCTATCTTGAAGAGTTGCTTTGCCATAATTTTCCAAAGGGGGAGATTGTTGTTTATTTTGGATTAGTTTCCTTTTGCAAAACAGCAACATGGAGAAGTGTTCAAGTTTGACAAACTACTTCAAGATGATTTTCTGGTTCATAAGGGACACATGTTGAATGCGATGCCATAACATGTGGGTACGACATCTAGGTCTTGTTCAATAGGACCAAAATTTCAGTAGTCTTTTGTGTTAAATTATGTGTTATTAGTGCTTTATTTTATTATGCATTATATTACTATAAATTTAATTCTTTTCCTGATCAAGAATGCCTATTGAGCAAGACCTAGATATTGTACCCATATGATGTGACATCGATGTCACAACAATGCGTTTTGGGACGAATTTTCCGTTGAAGATTGAGTTAGATTTTATTATATTTATTTAGCAATATGATTATATGATTTGTTGGACAACTGTGAATATCAAATTGTATTTAAATGTGATTTAAATTTAAATTTGAAACAAAGCAAATCATATCTTTCCATTGGAGATATTTATGGAAAAAATCTAATCAACTAGATTTTGAAAAGATTCTAGACGAAATTAAATTAAAGACCCTAGGAGAAAATGCAAGAATACTTTTGTTATATAAGAAGATCAAAACCTACATTGGAAAGCAAGCAATACATTAAATATATTAGAGTGCTAGGGTTTATTTGAGTCCTTGTTATTACTTTATGTACACCATCATATTTTAGTAACTTGACATAGTTGGTTCATCTTAGTTGAGTTGTAATATTCAACATTGTTTGTTGAGATTGTAAACACCAATCACAGGGTTGTGTGATTGAGATGAAAATGAGTAGGTTCTCATATTTAGGGGGAGTCCTTAAATAGAAAGTCATCGGGATTAGGAAGAGACTTTAAGCAACATAGATTTTGTTGGTTCTTGTAAGACTAAAAGTACTAATTCTAAGTAGTGGATTTCCTTTTTTGAGTAGAGTGCCCTCCAGACATAGGTGTTGTTTGCATCGAACTGGGTTGCAAATCTCTTGTGTTTTTATTACTTTTCTTATTGTGTTTTGTATTGTTGTTATTCTAGTTTAACTTGTAAGACTAGTTGTTCCAACATCGTGTCCAATATCTATCTCCTAAGAAACAAAATTTCAGTAGTCTTTTGTGTTAAATGGTGTGTTATTAGTACTTTATTTTATCATGCATTATATTGCTATAAATCTAATTCTTTGGTTGATCAACATAGAAAAATATGCAAGCTTGTTGTTGTGAGGAATCCAGGAACAAGTCGAACTCATGGTAAATATGATTGAAAATAGTAGGATATGAATATTCACTATATTAGCTACTTTAGACATAAAAAGCTAAAATCATAGAGGGTATTTGGAATGAAATCGGGCATGCACTAAAGTTAAATGTGGGCTTAGAAATTTGTCATCTTGCTTCATTGTATATGTTTATGATGTTGTAGGAATACACCTAGATATCACATTTTGACCTCATTTGCCATGACATAACACATTATGTACACACAATAGACAAGTTATATTAATGGATCATTGCCCAACACATTCTCCATCACTGATTTCACTTATTTAAACCAAAGTTGTTTTTTTCATTGTTTACTTAAAAATTGAACCTGTGACAACCATCAATTATTGTTAGTTTTGCTTATGCTCATTTACAAAAGATAATTTTATAAATCATTCTAAGTTATTTTTACTCTTTGTGGATTCGACATTCTTACTAATATATCACTTACTACTTTAAAAATATGTATACTTGTATGTGACACGACACATACACATTTTTATTTGTTGATCGACTTATGGTTCATAATTTAAAATGGAAGAGTAGAGAAGTCATTCATTGACTTCAATTTTGGTAAAAATATAATAATGATTTTATTAAAGTTAAAGGTTTTTCAACATTAAAAAAAAGTTGTTAACAACTTAATGAATAAACTTTTTAACAAACATCAGATTAAAAATTTAAGATTTGAATAAAGTGAAACTCATTGTTAACCAATTAATCATATTAAATACTAAACAAATATCTTAGTTTAACTTTTAAAATTTGCACACACATAAAAAAATCAAACCTTTTGTTCAATCAAATTAAAAACTATATAATTTAATAGTATTCACAATCTTCATGTTTAATACTTTATATTCTTATAATTTAATTACTCGCAACAATTCAGAATACTTGTTCAAATTGCTATCAAGTTTTTTATATCATAAATTTTGGATACAAAGATATGTCAAATTTTAAAGATACACATGTTAATAAAATAATTTGATAAAATTAATATTTTCTTTTTTATTATAATATTTTATATACTTTGTAAACTTTTTCAACTACATTTTTTGTTTTGTTTCTAATACAAGGTCAATATCATTTGTTGAAAGCAAGTAGTTTATCTCACACAAACTAAATATTGCTAGATGAATTCTCCCATTGAACAAGTTCCCTCATTGCCTCCTCAATCTCAATTGTCCCTTGCATGCACACACTCAAGCAAAACCCGACAACACTCAAGCTCAAAACAACTTCACTTTTCACCTCATTCTCACCTTCATCACTATACAAATTATCAACAACATCTCTTGACTTTTGAAGAAAAGACTCAACAATTTCTCTTGTTCCATCTTCTCCTAAACTTGAAAGCCAAGCACTATCCACTTTTGACTTTCCCATTTCAATATCCCAAGACATGTTCTTCTTTTCTTTCTCAACAAACTTGAATGACTTCATTTTGGAAATTTCTTCAAGACCTTTGATAGAACAACACATAACTTCCTTAACATGTACAAGTTTAGTTTGTAACATGTTCACTTCCTCATTCATAGAATTATTATCACTTCTTTGAAACTCTTGTTGAAGTGATTTTAATGCAAGTGCTCCAAAATGCAAAACATCCACTAACTTTGATAATGAGCCCAAAAGCCTATTATAGCAACCACTATGAAATGGTAAAAACCAAAAGTTGGGCTCAGCTTCAGCTTCTATCACAAATTTCTTAAGCTCATTAACTTGCATTTTTAGTTTTCTTTGGTTTTCTTTCAATTGTAAATCGGTTTTGTCAACTAGGCTCAATGTCTCAATTGAATCAATGAGAATGGACAAACATTTAGATAGTTCAAATTTGGCACATGTGGAAGCCCTTTTGGGCCAAAAAAGAAGATCCACAAAAATAGAACAAGAAAGCCCAATAAAAGTTTCAATGATTCTCTCTATTGCGAATTCGCTTGGTGGGCCAATGTTTTTTCGGCCCAAAATTAAAACGGCCCCAATTATCGCCGAAATGCCACCAGCTGGCCCGTACATTCGACTTCGTTGAAGGAAACTCGTGAATATAAACCATGGAAGTAGAGACAAGAATCTAATTGACAATAATCGATTAAACACAAAACATCCCAACACACCGTACACAGTACCAATCACGGTTCCTTGGGCTTTAACATTCGCAGCCCGAAAAGTAGCTTCTCTACCCGAAACGTAACTTACGGCCACCGGAAGCCCAGACCAGAATCCGCTTTCTTTGCTATACAATAAGCCCATGTAAACGGATAGGCCCAATGAGAAAGAGTACTTAATTGCAGGGAGAAGATTTGTGTTTTTTAATGCTGTGGCCCAATAGGCCCATTTATCATTAGCTTCATATTGATTTTCTTTTTTCTTAATGGGCTGGGCTTGAGAACTAGTTGGGCCTTGGGTTGATGGTTTCATGTGAAGGAGTTTGGCACAAAATAGGAAGAAAAAGATGGGTAATTCTTGTTGAGTAGTTGGAATGGTATAAAGGGATTGGAGAAAATGTGTGATGTTTTTTGAATTGGTTTCTGGGACAGTAAGTGAACCACTACCTAGGAAGGTGTGTTTAGCATTTTTTATGGTTAGGTTAACATGTTCCTCAAGTGTGTCTAGACCATGTGTTAGGTCTTGGTTAAGAATGTTTATTGGGAATGATTTGGTGCAACTTAAAGCTAATTCCATTCCTATAAGACTTGTATCTACCTCTTGAAGTCTCTCTCCCAAGTTATTGTAATGTGGTTTGAAAAAATTAATCGGAAGCCTCTCCCACTTCATACCATCCTATTCAAAACAAAAATAAATTAATACATAAAAAATAATTGAATTTAGATCACTCTCTATTTCAAATTTGGTTATAGAATCTCAAATTTATATATTATGAAATTGAATTAATTGCTTTCACAAAAAAGTTTGTTGGACTTACTAGGTAACGTAGGATGGTTGAAAAGATCTTGGTTCGTTTGATCGTCAAGAACTTAGCGCGAGAGATTAATCCAAATGCAGAAATATTTTTCTCCTCCTTAATTATCTTTACAAGAAGCTTTAATCTCTTTGAAATATTATTTGTTAATAGTTTATAATTTTTGTTCACCTGCATTAAACACGAAATAAAACTTAGATCGTAGTTGCATTTTCTCGTTTCTTTGAAGAAATCTTACATTTAGTCCTACTAAAAGCAACATCAATATTTCAAAATTAAAGACACTATTTAAAAAAGTTTAGCAAGTCATTTTGAATTTTTATTAGTTACAGTATTATAAAATATTGAAAATAATCCCAACAATTACACCCAAAAATGATAAAATAAATTACCTGGGAGCAAGCAAAACGTGGAAAAGGAAGAAGCAATGCAACGACACAAGCAATTACACCCAAAAAAGTACTAGCAGCCAAATGAAGAGGATGCACAAAAGCATCAACATGAACACCATTAGAATAAGCCAAAACATACACCAACACAATTTGTCCCAATGAAATTCTCTTTGCTATCAAATGTGTTGATTTATCCGAAGGCAAAACCACAACAAATGCAGCCAAAGCCACAGCAACAGAAGCTGTCCCTTTAGAGAATCTATTTGGGCCCATAGCCCATAGGCTCAACATAGCCGGGCCTAAACTTTGAATTGTAGCGTAAAGCCCGAGCCAACAACCGCGCAGCGCGTCTCCTAACGTCGCGTCGTTTATGATAATGAGAATCACGACGACGTAAGAAAAGGCGGGAAATGTTATGAAAGTTGTGACTGAAGTTGGTCCGTAAAGTGTCACACTTGCAACTATGGTGCAAGCTAAGGCTGTTCTGAAGGCTGAAGAGAGACACTCTTTCCATAATAATGGAATGTTGAAGAGGGTCATTATTAGGTTAATTAGTGGTAATCTCTCCATTTGGTGTTTTTTTGTGTGTGTTAGTGAGTGTTGCATGGTGTTTGGTTTTATAATGAGATGTATAAGAGGAAAAATAATCTATGTGATAAGTTGATAAGTGGTCATTAATTAGTTATTTAGGTGATAATGGATGTGATGTGATGTATTAATTAGGTTTGAGTATTTCATGTGGTAGTAGTATATGAGTATATGAATAATATGTTATTCTTTTCTATTAATGTTGAAGAGATGATGGAAGTGATGTATACGTAGGACCATATGCTGCACTATAAATGTTTGGCGTCAAACTATTCCTAATTTTTGTTATGACAGTATGGAGATATGGAATGACACATATAAAGACACACGTCAATATGTACACGCTTTATATATATATATATATATATATATATATATATATATATATATATATATATATATATATATATATATATATATATATATATATATATATATATATATATATATATATATATATATATATATATATATATATATATATATATATATATATATATATATATATATACCAGTTTTATTTTTATCTATCCATACGATAGGGGGATTGAATAATGTCTCGTCTCGTCTAAGTTTTTTGGTCGTCTTTTCTTTCAATTGAGTGTCTGTTTGGTAGATGTGTAACTCCTTTATTGAATATGTTGTCTTTTTCATGGAGGGGTTGTCCAAAGTGAGAAAGTGGTCAATTGATGTGTCCTTATTCTGTAACATTACGGAAGAAGTCATTTGACTGCGGTCTCTAAAATAACAGTGGAATAATCGTCTAATCTCACATCTTTTTAGTGATAATTACTACTTTCAAGGGCGTAGGATCTATGGCCAACATCGCTAAAAATACCTCAACGTTGATGTTGAGATGGACAATCTGATTCTTAAACAGAAAATCACATACACGAAGCTTCTCAACCCCCCCCCCCCCCCCAATCGTAAGATATCTCTCAACCCTATTGCACACCTTAAAAACCTATAACATCCCTTAATCATTAGGATTTCTAACGTATTGTAATTTTTAGCAAGTACAATTAACGTCCATTGTGGATACCGATAAAACTTACTTGGACAACTACAACAACACCATGTCAGATTAGTGTCTTCATGTTCAATCTCTCTAACCATCATGGTGAACAAAAAGACAACAACTCCGGCCAAAAAAGAATTTGAAAGCAAAGAAAGCGTCATGGAAGATATGCGAGTTGCTATGGACGATCTATTTTTCCAAAATCAAACTTTAGAGGATAACGTCCTTTATATCCATCGGGAGATAAACCCCACAAATGAGATGGAGATGCTAGACCCACAACCTCTCTCGACGAGATCTAAGAAACGCCCATTCCAAAGAACTTTAGGCCTCTCTCATTAGCTAAGTTTAATGGGCATGGCAACCCGTATGAATATGTCGCCTCCCTCAACACACATACGACCATTGTTAAAGCCCTGACTCCTTGAAATGTAATCTCCTTTTTGGAACCTTTGGAGACACATCCTTGAGGTGGTATAAGTGTGGAACCTTTTTTTGCAGGTGATATGTTTTTAAATAAGGATATCAACTTTTGATGATGACAACTAATGATAAGTAAAGCTTGAACGATTGAATGGATAAAAATGCAAACCTATCTTTAGGATTTGATGAACTTGACTATACAATGATGACAAACCAAAAATGCAACTAAAGCTTCATCTCAAGACCACTCAAGCATGTGTCAACATAAAGATTAATATCTGACAATGTCTTGAAGCAATGTGGTGGTCTCTTATTCTAGTAATTAATGAATGACAGTAAGGAAAAAGGATTTTATCGTAAAAGCATGTGGCTAAAGCGCGCACACAAACACACACACATAAAACCATTTTTAAAATGCTTTACCAAAAGAAAATATTTTGAAAAACATCTAGAATTTGTGTCAGATGAATTGGGAGCGATCAAAATAGCTATAGGCAGATTTTTTTTTACTTTACTAATCGATTAGAACATTTGTCTAATCGATTAGAAATGTGCAAATTTAAGGCATAAGCTATTTTGAAGGCACCTTGATTCTGTGGAATGATTAAAAATCATAAACTTCATTTTTTAGAACTTACAAACGATTATTTCCATTTTATAATTGGTTGGACATAGGTGTTAATTGATTGGATTGTTACAAAATGCGTTAAATGAAATTTTCTTTTTGAGCAAAGCTTAGGCCTATAAATAAAGGTTCCATTTTCGTTTCAAATCATCCAGAATTGTATTTTGATACTTTCATGTCTCATTCTTTTTCTAAACATTTCTTTAACTTTCTCTCACTATGTTTTTAGCCTAAGTGTTTTTGTAAGAAAAATCCTTTTGTGAGTGAGATTATTTTTGTAATTATGAAATGGATAGAATTGTAACATTCACCAAGGAAACCTTTTGTGTATATCTTGGTTGAATATTGTCCATTTAATGATTTGTTTGGGTTAAACCTAAACTCGTAAAAAGTTTTTGTTTGGGATTGGGTATTTCAGACCTAATTTAAGTTGAAGATCGACCCGTGATAAAATCTCCTAGGTTCTTGGTCATCCTGGTATTAAAACAAAGATAGGTTGAAGCTTAGCCCAGTACTTAAAAGCATCACAAGTTCGAGATCATCTTGGTGTTAAAATCTCAATTTTTTGGTTAGCCCATGTATAACCAAGTTATTGAGCACAAACGTTTGGAACTTGAAGACTAACCACTCCAAGGTCCGTGTTTGTGGAAACAAGACTAACCATTCAATCCACCGTTTGGAAAAGAAGATTGGCCTGTTCACTCTCAAGCACCTGCATCTATTATCTTGTATGTCTTGGTTGAAGATCAACCACCATTCCTTATATAAGGGGGTTCGTAAGCCTAGCCCACTAAAAGCTCTCAATGTTTAATGAAAACTCTCAAGATTAATTTTTTGGGAGAGGAGTGGGTCCTCTTTTTTTACCGAACCTCTACAATTCTTGGTGTTCATATTTTCCCTTACCTCATTTTATTTCTGTAATGTATCCCTCGCATTTTATTTTCAGTTGCTAAGTTTTTAAAATATTTTTAAGCTATATTTTTATTTCCCAAAGTTATCAAAGCCACGTTTTCCCAAACCACGTAATTCACCCCCCCCCCCTCTTGTGTGTGAAGTCTTAAGTCTAATAAGTGGAATCAGAGCCTAACTCCTGTTTAAAGACTAATGGTCTCAAGAGGAAAATGACTTCTGATACAAGAGTTTTTCTAAACACACCACGACTTTTGGAAAATAGAAGTTTTAATTTTTGGCAAGCTAAATTTAAAAGTTTTCTTCAAATTTTAAAATCATAAATTATAGGAAACATTAGTCAATGGTCTGGTTATTCCCTACTCATCAAGTAAATGACGAAATAGTAGATAAACTCGTTTTTCTTTGGAACCAGAGATGAAAAGAGAAAATGTGAAATAAATTGTAAAACCAAAAGATTTATAACAATGTCTTTAAATGACACAATACTTCACCATTATAATACCACCAAGGAAATCTGAGATACTCTTGAAACAATATATGGAGTTTCTCCAAGTATCAAACAAGAGAAGATGAACACACGAGGCAAAAAAGATAATCATGGATGCTTTTCTAATTATACAAGTATTGGAAAGTTTGCTAGAAAGTGTGTTACTAACAAAAATCTGAGATATAAGAATTTGAATTTTAATCAAACTTTGAATTCAATAGATAGAAACCTTCATGAATTTCAAGAAAAAATCAAGAATGAAGGAAATCGTAGAGAAGATGAACGAACCGGTTCAACTACTCAAAGATGCGGTAATCCAAACTGAATAATCATCATCCTCATCTCACTCATATCATATAAATCCTACACAATCCTTCAAAAGAATGCACTCAGTAAGTTGAACGACCTTTGAAAGATTCAAAAGGATCTTCTTGTTCAAGGAACAACAAAGAAGATGAAGAAGTTGCTTTAACATTTGAACAAATAAGAGGAAGAGAAAGATCAACCTCGAGAAAAAATCTAAAAGAATTATCATCTAACAAAAACGATGAAATATGCTTAAAGGCATCCTACAAGGAAGACGCTGTTCTAGGTATCAAATCTTCCTATGCATAATTATTTAAGATGAGTGGACATTTAGTGGAAGAAAAATTTTTCTAATCAAAGATCCCATTTAAATAAAAAAAATGGTATAGGTTTTAAGAAAGATAAACTAGATCATAAAATGAAGAAGCATTTCATATAAATGCAATCACAGTCAAAGATTTGGTCATTTGGAATATTTCTGTTTTGATAAATTGAAAAGATCTAAAGGTAGCCAGCCACCTTAGATCTTCTGGGACTAATACACTTGAGCTCAAGAAGATGTGGGCACCAAAGGTAAAACCTCAGTGTTTTGAAGGTAGGCTTTGCTGCTTGAAATTATTGACAATTATTATTGAAAGCAGTGCAAAGCAATAATATACTCTTAAAAGTATACATTTGATAAAGTCTATGATCCCGAAGATGCACGATGATAGAAAATGCTAACAGTTGTGATCAAAGCATATCTTTGAGACTATCCCAAAGTATATGATCTGTAGTGATCAATTGAATGAATATGTCTGTGATGGATTAATTTGTTTTGTAGTTTTACTAACTCTTGCATCCAACAATGTATAGAGAAGGATACACCATTTGGTGTTTTCCCTCTTGGAAAATATTTATCAAGATTACTTGATAAAAGAGGTAAAATCATTTTAAGGTTGAAATAATTAGGAAAATCTGATTAAACCCTTTGTTGCAACTGCGAAAAAGAGGCCGGCGAAAATAAACAGAAGAGTCGCCACCGAACGTCATTTATCCCAAAGAGAGGGAAAGGAAACGATCGGAGAAAACCTAAGAGAACGGGAAAGACAAGGTCATCGCAACCAAATCTTAGGTTCGGGAGTCGGTTACGCAAGGGGACGGTATGTGCACCCCTCATGTCCATTATACTCAATGGGATCCACACTTGTTATCTAATCTATGGGTGAAAG